TACAGCATCAACGCCGCTGGCTTTTGAGCATTTTGGGCGGAAAGGGAAGTATATTAATTGATTTTAGCGTTCTGAGCTTTCGAGCTCGATCGATACCGATGCTTCCCCTTCGCTCTGACACTGAAAAGTATGAACGGTCGATCGGCAACCAACTGGGCAGAAGCTACTGGATCAGCATTAACCTGAAAATACCTTGAAATTTACTCACCTGTCTTCCAATGAACTACTCAGATTAATCACAAGATAGGTGAAGAACAAGAAATTGACGACGATCACAGGAATCAGAAACCGCTGCCAAAGTCTCGCTTTACACATGCAGATCCGATCGGATCTAAATGCTACAAAATACTAAGGGTTATGAGGATTCACGGCGCAGGCGAATTCCAACAGAAAATGTTTCGCTGCATTTACATTACAATATTAGAAACTACGAAATTTTCTGTTCCCACAGTGATCTAGGAGAAGTACACGGACATAAATAAAACAGCACACCTACTTCACAAAATGAATGTTTCCGGACAGCGGAGTTCACGAAATTTAGGCGGAAAGAGTGATAAATGGTTTCAGAGAGGTAAGAATTCAAAAGAGGGGCATAAGAACGTTGTCCGCAACATTTACGTGGCTTCAAACACTTGTTCTGCAAAGTTAGGACTACCGTAACCTGACGGACTATTACACAGAATGCCAACCATGTTGGAATAGCGCTGTTCACTAGCAGATTTGCAACATTTATTTCATCTTCCCTTCATTCTACCAACATTTAACTGCAAAAAAAACTACAGCCAGATGACAGACACTAGATACAATCATACCTAGTTGTAGGTTTACAGGATATTCAACGGGGTTATTCAGATCAGCCTCCAATGAATTTGCAACTAGCAGCCCTATTTGAAAAGAAAGACCCTGAAAAGAAGAAAATCCGCGGAAATTCACTACGGAGGGAACGATGATTAAAGTAGCCGTAAAGTCCAGTGTCTGCCGTGCAGATTGCGTACTACACGCGTCGTAGCCGTCGCGCGCCTCGTACGTCTGGCGCTGCGGCTACCGTATTTGCTCTTCGGTTTTCGATCGGTGTCGTAGTCGCACAGGGCAATTCAGTCGATCATTCCACTTCGCTACTGTCATGTCTATCATTATCAGCGCGCAATTCCTCTTTTTCAGGCCATACCATGTCCCCCCATTTCCTCTTCATCGTCATTTCAACTTGACAGCTGGCGATTACTCGCTCCTATGTCTCACGTATCGATTTTCCCTACATCAATACTTGCTGGCGGGCTTTCATCGGCCTTCCTCATTATAACCTCGCCACTCCTTCAGTTTTAGCCCGAAATGCCTGCCAGAAGGCCTGTGTTTCCTCATTCGGTTGAGTAGTCAAGCATTCATTAGACTTTCGCGGGTGGTCTGTTCTTCTTGCTCGCTTGTTCCTTATATTGTTAGTTTCAAGAGTATTCAGTAACTTCCTGCTTTCTTTTCAGACATGCCAGGACGTGATCCGAACCTCAAACTAGGCGAGCAGGCCCATGTTACGGCCGCACATTCTTTGTGCGCACACTCGGCGTCACAAGTGCCATGATGTTCACCGCAGCCGGATCTGCCTACGGAACCGCAAAGTCTGGCACTGGAATCGCTTCCATGGCCGTAGCCCGACCAGACCTTGTCATGAAGGCCATCATCCCCGTCGTCATGGCAGGTATCGTAGCCATCTATGGTCTCGTCGTTGCTGTGATCGTGTCCGGTAAAGTGGCCCCTGGTGGTCCCGAATACACCCTGAATCAGGCGTTTGCACAATTTGCCGGCGGTCTTGTATGTGGTCTATGTGGTCTGGGAGCTGGTTATGCAATTGGAATCGCTGGTGACGCGGGAGTGAGAGCCCTCTCACAACAGCCGCGAATATTTGTCGGTATGATTCTGATGTTGATTTTCGCCGAAGTACTTGGTTTGTATGGAATGATTGTGGCCCTTATTATGGGTGCTACATAGTCCTTTAACGATATGTATATATTGACTGCTGTAGAATAACTTCATTAGACTGCGTTCAAACTTCGCGATCGCGCGATTGGATCGCGCGACCCCGACTGTGGGCGCTCCACCGCCAAGTAATGCACCGCTGCAATGGCACAATTCAACTGGCAGAGTGTGAATGCAGCTCATTGAATTCCACCATTGCGGCGGTGCACCAACTGGCGGGATACAGTCTAGCGATCGGATCAGCCGCGTCGCGAGTCTGAACGCGGTCTAATATATTAAATGTGATGGCTTGGATTCATTATATTAATGAATAAATTTCTTTGTTGGTATTTTGTTTAGCACGTGTTGTGTGAGCGTCATTGACGCCGCCCTTGTGGTGTATTTTCAATTTTTTTAGCTCAAGGTAGTATTTGTAATCATTTTCTTCATTATGTGCATTATCCTTGATAACTTGTTTAGGATGTCGTACGATTTAAGCACCGCCGAAAGTCCAGCGTACGCTCCATTCTTTGGTTACATGGGCGCCGCCTCAGCTCAGGTATGGTTATTATTTTCTTGAACACAACCAAGCTGGGGGAGGGGGATATAGAACAAATGGTATATAGTGCTGTAAAGTGCGCTGGCGGTCGTTTGTAAAAGTTTTGTTGACTAATAAACACACTGGGCATTTTAAGCGGGCTTTGCGCTTTGGGAGAGGTGCCAGGTTGTCTTCCATGATAGAGCACAAGGCACTTTCCGCGATGACCCCATGGGCGGAAACAGCCAACCTCTGTACCTTTCTCAATAACACCGCCCAAGTCGGAGCGGACCATCGAGGCTAGTTGGGATGGCTCCGCTCATTCATTTATCGCGGGATTTGCCTGGAATGACCCAGGTCATGTCCCCTCACTCGCGAAGACAAAAGTAGCTTGCTCTAACATTACTTGGTCAAGTCAGAATATGCGGTCCTCTCGATGTACCCTTCCTCTAGACAGCGAGACGCGGCTCTGTCACATCCGAACACAACGCAGCTACGACTTGCAGAAGAGTGCCCTTCCCGAGACACATAGCGCCGACTTCATAAGGCCCTGTAAATTACTGCAATCTGCAATATGCTCGCGCTTTTATTCCTATTTCTATGCTACGACTTTCTAAAACCCAGACCGCATCTAGTGCTAGAGCGTGCAAAAACGATTGTGAGCCAAGGGTTTGGCCAAATCTGAAGAAGTCTTCCAAATTTGAGGGGGGGGGCAATTCCTTTTCAACTTGGAATTACTATCTTTCTTGAACATTCCCAGTAAAGGAGAATGTCTGCAATGAATTGTTTGAATTTACGGTTTTTTTTTTAGCTCTAAATGCTCTGGGTTCCTAGTGGCATATTTTACAGTATATGACTCATGTTATACTGTGTCACTGCGTCACTGTGTTCATAGATGAGGGGCTGTTCAAACAGTGAAATTCCGCGTTCTCTTCATCCTTCACAGAAATTTTTGGAATATAACTCGGAACTCCTCTTGTTTTCATCAAGGTGCACGCCTTCCAGCGAAAGGCTTGAGAGCATTATTCACCTTTTAAGTACCACTTTCATAGCTGAAGGTTAGAACGAAATTCCCCCTCAAAAGTAGATCTAGCTACGGTTTTGTTCTCAGGGGTGATTCCGTTTGCTGAACATAAATTCCACATCGTGGAGCAAATGTGTGGGTTTCAAGCCACAAGCACTGGCGCTTATAACACGGAGGCCAGGCGTTTTCACGCCAAGCGGGTGTGGTAATCGGGTAATCGTGTGCAGTGAATCAAACTGAAGATGATATTAATTACATTACACAAATCACACTTATACTTAGAATTTACTCTTATTATCCTATTATGCCTGAATTCCAGAAAGGGGGGTGCAGAAAGTGTAATTAATGCTAGATTCAGCAGTATTTGGCTCCGGCAAGCGCTAACGGGTCATGCGAACCGGTACGGGATGTCTTTAGAGAAGATGAACTCCTACTGAAGTGGTGTTAGTGCTGGTCTTTGCGTTACCACGTTATCTCCGTATGGGTGGACTGTCGGCAAACATTGAATAACGTCAGCAGGTGCGGAAGACATTTATTACAATCAGTAGGAACTAAGGATGCCACTTCACCGGCATTTAAATATGGCCTTCCATTCTTAGCGGACGTCAGTGGAAGGGCGCAATGATGAAAACGGCGAGTTTTTGGTTTATTTATTTGGCCGGGACTAAGGGACAGTGTGTGGCTGCACAAATTAGCTCTAGTTGATGTTGTATTTTCTAAATGGATTCTGGCCGATCATACAGTTGCGGGCATTTCTTGTCCTCGATGATTTTCGTAGGCTTTTCGGGCCATTCGCACTTTCGCTAGTTATGATTATTGTTGTATAGAGGAATGAACTCTGATAAAGTGTGATACTGCGCACCTCTTTTGAGAGCGTATTTAAGAGAGGTGAGCGGTAGGGTTGAGTTAGTTTTGTGTGTGGTTTACTCGCCAGATAAACCTACTGTGCGTATCGTCTATTTCGACACTCCCAGAGACAACACAGAAGTCAAGGGATCCACATGTTGGGCGATTCAGGCATATCCAAACAGTGGCGATCAGGACAGGATATCCAACAGTGTGCGATCAGCGATCCAGCACTCAAGCGACAAAACCAGGATTCCCCAGAAGAAGAAGAATTAGAACAGGGGAAGCCCAGGACCAGGACCAAAGCAAGACAAGGATTCTGGTCACAGCAGAAGAACCAGTGGTCTATAGTGCAACGAAGAAGAATCAAGGACTCTTCGTGCAGGATCTCCTTTTATTCGACTGTGCAGAATACTAGCCGTATATATCTGCTCGCTATTTATCTATCTATCCGATCTATCACATTCTCAGCGAGAACCGGACGAGGACCGAGCAGATAAGTCTTTACTCTTGCTCTGATAGAAGTCGGTTTTCCTTGTTACCTGCACAGTTGGATTGTAAGGCACGTGGTCAGGATCGGATAACCAGCAGCGTGCCAGCCAAGCACAAGTTATCGACAGAAGTACAGCCAGCTCACCGGACAAGCACATCGACACTTGAAAAATGGACGTGACCACCATCTTGACAATGTTCAGAGAAATGATGGAAGAACAGAAGAATGTTATCGCTAAACTGCTAGATCGAATTCCAGAACGCGGACAGGGAGATTGTAGTGCGACGGAGCACATAGCACTCCCAAACTTGATGCAGCGTTTGGAGCAAGGCCGCCATCGAAGAAGTGTTGTGTTCGACCCGGATGCCGACATGATTTTCTCCAAATGGTTTTCAAGATACAAGGATGTGTTTAACGAAGACGCAAAGCAGCTTTCTGAAAATACCAAAGTCAGATTGCTCTGCGAAAAACTGGATCCTATATCTTTCGAGAAGTACCAGAGACATGTGCTGCCAAGAGATGTGACGGAAATCGGGTTCACCGAGACGGTGGACATACTCAAGCAACTGTTTGATTTCAAGTCGTCATTGTTCACCACGAGATATCAATGTCTCAAGCTAGAGAAGAGCCAATCAGAAGACTTCCTCACGTATACCGGTCGTGTGAATGAATTTTGCGAGAGAGCAAAGATTCACGAGCTAGACTCGGACGGAATCAAATGCTTGCTGTGGATTTTTGGACTGAAGTCACAGCAGGAGGCAGAGATCAGGCAGAGGCTGATCACAATACTGGATAGAGACCACAAAGCAGGCAAAACGGTCTCACTGCAACAATTGCATCAGGAGTGCGAAAACTTCTTAAGCCTCAAGAGAGACAGTGAAGTCGTCGCCGGAACTATGAAACTAGTGGAAGCTACGTCCGTACAAAAGCGGAAGGAAATAGAATGCTGGAACTGTGAAGGCAACCATCGTGCTAGTGGATGCCAAGCGAAACCTTGGTTCTGCAAGAAGTGCAGGAAGGTCGGTCACAAGGAAAAGTTTTGTGACACTTTACGACAAAAGAAGACTGCGAGGTCGCACAGAGGCGACGCAGAAAACTCAGCATACTAAAGAGAAGTTCTCGAGGAACAGAAACAACAGAGGTCCGAGAAAGCAAGTACGAATCGTCAAGATTGCAAATGCAGCAGTTCAGGCAAACTCTTCCCGTGTGTACATCGACGCCGTAGTGAACAACTACTCTGTCAAATTCCTTCTCGATACTGGATCAGACATCACGTTACTGAACGAGAAGATTTGGAAAAAGATGGGCTCCCCAGCATTGGAAAAGACCAATATAGTCGTGAAAAACGCAAGTGGAGATTCCATGAAGATATATGGAAAGCTTAAATGCAAGATTACCATGAAAGGTGTCACTACTGAAGGAGACGCCTATGTGACGCCGTACAACTCACTCTTGGGACTCGAATGGATTCGAGCAAATGAGAATTTGATGTACCACATAGAAATGATGGCTGCTGAAGTGAAGGCCAACTGTAACCCCAGACGTAAAGAAGAGTTGAAAACGTTGAAGAGAGGAGCCAGAAAACTTAAAAGGGAAGAGAAACTGTCAGAGGATACGTTCAATGTTATACGGCAAGCACACCGAACCACCACACACAGATGTCTTGAGGACAGAACAGAATCATTGAAAAGGTTGTACGCCGAAGAAAATGGAAGGAAGATGAAGCAGCAATACGACAGGAGAAACGGTTCTATTTCGAAGGAATTCCATAAGGGAGACGACGTGTACGCGCAGATGTGGAAAGCCCCACACTCCACATGGAAGCAAGGAGTTGTCGCAAAACGCCTTGGCGCTGTGGGAAGGTCAACTATGAGCGTCCCGTGGAAGGAAGACTGATGCGGAAACACGCAAACCAATTACGACACAGCAACACAAGGACAAGCTGGAATCGTGTAGACAAATCGTTGAAAACCCTGCTCGACATGTTAGAAGTGGACGACAATTGGCTAAAAAGCAACGACGATACTGCTAGTGACTTGGACGTCAACACCGCTCTACCGTGCTCTCCAGAACTATCAATGCGACGATCGACTAGAATACGAAGACCCGTGAAACGATATGGCATTGATGTCTAGATTCAAATTATGAATGTTTTGTTTTCCCTTTGTAAGTAGAAAGACAAATTGTTGTTCACATTTTTCCTTGTCTTTCTACTGGGGGGAGGTGTTGTATAGAGGAATGAACTCTGATAAAGTGTGATACTGCGCACCTCTTTTGAGAGCGTATTTAAGAGAGGTGAGCGGTAGGGTTGAGTTAGTTTTGTGTGTGGTTTACTCGCCAGATAAACCTACTGTGCGTATCGTCTATTTCGACACTCCCAGAGACAACACAGAAGTCAGGGATCCAACAATTATTATGATTTATTATCGGTTAGTAAAGCAGAACAAAACACAACATAGTTATTGAAATTGACCGATAAGCGGCAGCATGCAATTAATGAACAAATGATAAAACAAAGCAGCACATGGAAATAAGTTGTAGACAATGGATTGAGCGGAATAAGCGGGGGAAGGGAGAGTTAATTTTATTAGTTCTTTTCAAATAACAGGTAAGTCCTGTGAACTCCTGTGAAGCCGCGAAATGGTACGAGTGGGCCTTTTGGTAACAGAATTCCCAGATTTCCACAAGATGACTTATAAAGGCTTGAATGAGTACCATTCAGTGCTCCCACCAGGGCGAACTGCATTGATTTTTGCTTTGGATTTGTAGTGCTTTTGTTAAAGCGAGGAATGATGATGATATGCGCTCCTAATGGTAGGTGGGAGTTGTGACATCGAGGGTCCATATCTTGTGCGAAATTAGCAGAGTATCTATAACTTTGCGTGCCTGAATCGGAATGGATTTATTATCATCGCTGGCTTTATATACTTGTTTTTAGGGCAAAATTTTTTTTCTTCCGGCAAGGGGGTTTCTCTTCAAAAAAACTCTTTAATTACTAGAAATCACGTAATAGTCTCCACCCACATTTACATTCGTTTGAAGAAACATGCCCTGTAAAAGATGTTGAAAGTGGCGCAAATGGACCACTAAACAGTTTAATCCCATAATCGCGTGGCGGCATACAATCGCTCGTGACCAAAACGGATTGGGTGCTTACTTACCAACTGCGTTGCACTCAGAGTGACTGAGTTTTGACAGCAGTGGCCGTTGAGGGTTCTTTTACGTAGAACTTAGAACGATACCGCGGTTACCGTCCGGGAGTTTGCACTCCGAATGAGAAAACTTCTGATGTCCTGCGCCACATATCAGCGCCCAAAAAAAAATGGCTCGACCACTCGCAAAAAAAATCGGAATTTCAAATTATTGCTTTGATAATTTCCTGGTTGTATCTGATTCTGAAATATCCTGTATGTAGGCTTGGAGAATGCCCTGGAAGAGAACTCGTATTCCACAGAAACAACCGCTACCGAACTCAGCTACTGGGTTCTCTCGCTTCAAGGCCAGCATCCGGTTGTCAAAATGACTGAGTAAAATCCTCCAGCTCAACCTCGTGAGGTTTGAGGTGACTTGAAGCATGGGTCATAGGACAGCAGAACCTCGCGACGAATGACGTTCATCTTCTCCGCGCTTTCTAAGCGAATTCCGCCCAGCGCAGGGTCAAATATTCGTGGATACCAGTGAAGCTCCTATGGAGTCGATTCCATGGTGAAGGCTCTAATCAAATGCAGTGGTAAGCACAACCCAGATTTGTAGCGCTGAGTTTTTTCTCCTAATCTAACAACTCCGCTATCTCGCTACCATTCTGTATTGTTGTTGATTAAGAGTCTCAGGAACATGGTCCAGAACGCAATGCTGCTTCCACCGTTTTTTACCGCAGCTTGCTAGTCTCAAAATCGAATTGAATAAGCTTCTATATGTAGGTGTTGTGGGGAGGGACGTTTTGCAACTAAGGTGCGCGGGCATACTTTTTGCGATGGCGCGCGTTATTGCGAGCTCCAAACGCTGCATAAGAGACAAATTGGTTCATTGAGATTGGACCTATCAGGGTTTGTTCAACTTTCAGAGATACGCACCTTATTTGATATTACTGTAGTTCTGGTTTCATACTCTCGTTTGTCTTGCATATGGAATCCCGCTACCATGGAATGGGGAATTATACGTATGTGATCCGGAAATCTGCAATTTTCAGAGAAACTGTCGCTCGCGAACGCGTGAGAGAGGTCGAGCTACAAGGCTAGAATGGAGTTGTTGTTTTTTGCCCCTTAGCACAATCGCGCGTTTCTATGCGTTACGGACACTTTGAACTTGCGGAAAAAGCTAGAGGGCTGAGTGATTCGATACCCATTTGGTCTTGCGCTTGCGAATCCTGCTCTCGCCAGTCGCTCATTCACAGGGGAGTTGCAAGACTGCCAAACTCGCATATACATATGGCTTATGGCCGCCACATCTCCGCAATCTCGAGCAGGTTCACAACCTTGGTATTTCGGCGATCAGATCAGCGAACATATAGACGCCGTTCCAAGATTGCTCTAGAATCGGGATTTCTCTGCATCCCACACTGACCAAGGGGAAGGATGGTAGGTCGAAGTGGCCATTTGAAATGAAATGTATACCGGCTGGAAGGTCTTCGGACGGGAATTACGAAACCGTCTTCCATATCTGCTGCGGACCTCCCAGAACGAAGTTACGGAGCTTTTTTGGGGGAGATACACTACAAATTGGCGGCGTAAGGCTGACGAGAGATCGTGGCAGCATGGCCGAGTGGATACGTCGTAGGGCTCACGGATGCGTGGTCGAGGGTTTGGATCCTTGATGCGTGTGCTCTTTTGCATTTTTTCGAAAGTGGTCCCTGTGCACTTCAAAAAGCTATTTTGCATAATACTTGTCCCTGATAATGTCGTGTGATGTATGTTCTGAACTGATGGAGCCATTGCGAACCATTCCATAGAGATCACTTCTGGCTGTTGTCTTCTTCTTTCTTTGATTTGAAAAGCATACACAACAAAAGTGCATTCCAAAGGGCAAGACTTTTGCCTGTCCAAATGAATTTATTCTCCAACGACCATGACTGGTGAAAACGACCACACCACGGAAGATTGTGCACGGAAGAAATGAGTATAGTGGGGACAATTGCTTACCAAATGACAGCTGCAGTGGGCTTGTCGAACAAGCACAGCTGCTGCCTTACGATCGCGATGGGCAAGAGCTTTCATTTACCACAGTCCACCATAATGTTAAATTACGTTCTAATCTCAGAAGGACTCTAGTGTCTTTCGTATCTGCTGGGAAGTTCGGCTCGTACGTGACAATCTCCTTCAGCGGAGTGATTCAATGAAATCCAGTTCAGCAATGGCTCCCATCAGTTTCAGAATACCCACCTGTCGCGACATTATCAGGCACCAGAGTTATACAAAATAGCTTTGAAGGCAAGCAGAGCCATTTTCGAAAAAATGCAAAAGCGTCACACGTATCAAGGATCCAAACCCTCCGACCCCGATCCCATGCAGTCCTACGACGTCATATCCACCTCGGCCATGCGTGCCGGTCTCGTCAGCCTGGGTACGCCGCATTTGTAGTGTATTTGCTCCACCCTAACAACCACGTAACTTCTCTTACTGGGAGGTCCCGAGCGCAGATTATTTAGAAGGACGCTTCGTTTCAATTCCCGTCCGAAGACCTTTCAGCCGGTGTACATTTCATTTCAAATGGCCACTTCGACCTACCATCCTTCTCTTGTGAGTATCTCCAGAAATAGGTTATCAAATCGCGGGAAATCTTAATCTCCATTAATCAATGTGACCACCGGGCGCGGTTCGGTTTTGGTGGATCTGGATACCGAGTTGTATTAGGCTATGCTTGTGCAGGCCACATTGTAAGGACCTGTAAATTCTTGTGGCGAGAGTGGCTTACTTGCACCATTTACGCAGCTTCTCAGCAGCTTACAGTTCTCTGTGAAGTGAGGTCTGTTAGTTGACATGGACTAGCAAAAATAACTGAAGAAAGTGCGAAGTACCTCACCGCGTTCACCGCTACTCCTCAACCCCCTGAGCCGAACAGCCCCTGACCATACTCTTCAATCCCATCTTCGGCCGGGAAAAATTGTAGTTAGGTAGAGTTTGAAATTGAACACCTTTTCGGCGCTGCTCGGAGAAGTTCCACAGTGACGAACACTCCTATCCCGCACCCTCGTTTTGATTTTAAGTGGTGGGATGACATTCTGATATTTCGTTTTATTCTCAAAGATACCCAAGCTTGTCATGATAATATTATTCTTGAATTCTAATGTTCTCTTTACAGATCTTCACGGTGTTGGGTGCTGCTTATGGCACTGCCAAATCAGCTGTTGGCATTTGCTCGATGGGAGTGATGCGGCCAGAGTTGATAATGAAATCTGTGATTCCTGTTATTATGGCTGGTATCATCGGTATTTATGGTCTTGTCGTTGCTATGGTGTTGAAAGGAAAGGTACAAGCATCGAGTGAAGGCTATAACCTGAACAAAGGGTTTGCACATCTTGCCGCTGGACTTACGTGCGGTCTTTGCGGTCTGGGAGCCGGCTACGCTATCGGCATCGTAGGAGATGCCGGAGTTCGTGGAACCGCTCAACAGCCTCGTCTGTTCGTCGGAATGATTCTCATCCTTATCTTCTCAGAAGTGAGTTTTGATTTGCGTTCGGCGTTAGTCCATTACAGGCCCGCGGTGCAATAACATTAATGGCGACTCATGAACTTGAGGGTTGTGGTTGAGACGATCCTGAGCGTCTGCGCAATGCTCAGAGTCTTGTCTAGAGAAAGGACCTAGACGCAGTGCTGTGTGGCTCCCACCAATAATGACTGCGCCCTGACATGTCTTAAAGCTGCGTTCATACTTTGCGGCAGCGTCCACCAGCGATTACC